GAGAGAGAGAGAGAGAGTGAGAGGGAGGGAGGGAGGGAGGGACAGAGACAGTCAGACAGACAGACAGATAGAGAAACAGAGAAGGGGAGGCTGTTCTGAGATTTAAAACGAGGGCATTCGAGAATGATTGCTAGAGCTCAAACCACTAGATGAAAAGATTCTACAGACACAAAAGAGATGAAATAAAATATGAAATATTGTTAGGCTGTTAAACTAAGAAAGATCCCCACACCCACTCCCAATCTCTCCCTCCACTGTGATCGATAGCACTACCAACACCAGTTTGTTAGAATGTCCGCACGGTAATAACATCCGCCCTCCCTCTTATTGCCTGTGTTTCTCTCTCCCTTCCGTCTGGTATCCTCTTTCCTCCATCAAAAGTCCCCTCTCTTTTACTAATGCCTCCCTCCCTCCCTCTCCCAGTTTTTTTCTTATGCCTCCCTCCCCCCTTCCCCCTTCTCCCTTTTTTTCTAATGTCTCCTTCTGTCCTTTCCCCTCCTCCCATGTTTTTCTTTTGTCTCCCTCCCTCCTTCCCCCCTTCTCCCATTTTTTACGTCTCCCTTCCTCCCTCCCATTTTTTTCCTAATGTCTCCATCCCTTACCCTCCCACCTTTCCCACATCTGTGATCAATGCTTGCGCCAACACCCTGTCCCTCCCGTCCCACGTTTAGCACAACGTCTGTAGTCTGTACCGCTAAAAGTGAGCGCTCACCTGGACGGAAGCTCGCGCCAGCTTTGCCCGCCGCCCAAGCACCCCTGGCCAGAGCCTGTGAGTGGAACGCGAGCCGCCCTGTGGACGTGAGGCGAGCGAGAGCAGCGCCGGGCCTGCTACAAGCAGACGATAGAATCAGAGAGACAATTACCGCGCAACTGTCCTATCGGTGACTCGTGTTTCGGACTCCGTACGTTCAAGCGAAAGGTAGGATTTCTGTCCTTGTGAGTTATCCAGCTTCATAGTGGTTAATGGAGTTTACTCATTGGAATGAATACGAAAGACTCGGAAAGACACTGCTTGACACGTTTGGCAAAAGTGCATAGGTTTTTAAAAAATTGTTGTTGTTGTTGTTCTTGTGGCTGTTTTATAGAGGCATTATTGGTTTAAGTGGTGAGAGGAAGGAAAAGAATTAAAATGACTGATAAAGCAAAGAGCTTTCTAAGCTGCTTGTGTTTATTACAGAAAATCAACTCACCACTTCTTCACTGGAAAGCGTTGAAAATATGCTGTCACGAGATTTTCTTTTGCTTTCGTACTTAAATGAATAATACTTTGACTGTAAGAACTATACATACACGTATGTAAACAAGTGTATAATATGTAAGAATAATACATGTTTTAATATCCTCTACAACGATTTCTGGATAAAGCTTCAGAGCTGACACTAGTCCCGGATTTAAAAAAGAGCAAAGGAACACTTTGTCGGTTAGCTTTTAAGACTTTTTTTGTTTAGCCTAAAATATTGAAAATATTCGTATTACAGTTTCTTTATTAGTGATATCGATTGCATGTATTCGAGTAAAACTTTGTTGAAATTCAAATTCTAGATGTTGGAAAACAATGTAAAAAAATTATACATCAATAAAGGTGGAATTGTTAAAGGGATGAAACAGGTTTTTTCCCTCTCTCCCCTACATTTTTGCTTTCTGGGCTTAGCACATTTTAACAGCTTGCCGGTGACTTGGAAACTTACTTAGGGCAGAAAATAGTGAAATGCAAAATGCAAGAGACTTTGTGTACGAACGTCGTTGTTTGATGTCTTACATCCCATAATAAGTTCATGTATCTAGAGAAAACATGAAGAATGAAAACTCATATTATTTTGAATATGTGACGATCATAAAAAAAAGTGATGCACGTTGAATATGAAGGGCAAATGGGCTACTCTGCTGTGGAGTTTGAAAAGAACACAAAAGTATTTTAACGAACAGTGTTAGCAGCTAGTGCTGTGTTTAAACCTTGAGTTTCTATTGCAAGGCCAGGAAACTGCACTGAAATGCAAGTCACATCTGATTGAATGCAAACTACCACGAAGTCAGAACCCAAATGAAATGAACCTCTGAGATATTAATCTCGAAATTCGCCAAAGTAGTCTTGAATACCAGGTTACTGCATTTTACGCTTTTAGCAAGGCCGCAGCCTGAGATGCTTCCCTTTCATATTCCCTTATTGTTTTTAAAAACAACTGACCACACCTTCATTTGATTATAAAAAAGGACGCTCTTTATCAATATTCCGAATACTGACGCCTTATAATATTGACATTTCTCTCTTCGGGTACGTTGGATAAAGTCGGCAAGGCGGCTTTCAAGAGGAAATATGAGATGATAACGCAGTAGGTATTGTTGTTTTTTTTCATAAAGGAGAGTAAGAGGTTGTCTTTTGATAAATAGTTAAGAATGCCTGATACACTGTTCAATAGTGACAAGTGTCCCATTGTGCCTTTTCTTTCTGCTTGATTATGTTCGTGGCTAGATGTATAATACCTTTCTGACTGCTTGACCTCCATGGGATTGCGCCTCGTTAGCGTCGTCTGTACTTCCTGTTCAGATTTGTCAGACACAATTGCTTCACGGTCACAGTCATTATTAAGTAACACTTAACGTGTGTAAATCCCTTGTCACGAAAGTCGACCATTCTTTAGTGGTTCTCTATAGTGTGGGTGTCCTTAATTTAAAGGTCAGCAGTCATTGCGGTAGCCCCCCCCCCCCTTTCAGAGATTGTAGAGAGGAAAAGGAAAGTGCTTTATACTTACTAACGACAGAGTTAAGGTTATTTTGGAATTTTAGTTTGGTATCAAAACGTATTGAATGTCACCTTTTAACTCTCTCTCTCTCTCTCTCTCTCTCTCTCTCTCTCTCTCTC